AAAAGGATCAGAAATGTAAATGTTAAGCAGGAAGACCCTAAGAGTATGAGAGGAAAACATTAAAAAAAAAAAAAGCACCTTTCATCACCTAAAAAAACCCAGAAACAATAAAAGATGAAAATGGTTTAGTTAAAAAACTTTTTTAATGGCCAAAATGACCACAACACAAAGTGCAAATATGAGCGATACCAGGCTATTGATACTGTGTAGGAAGGACTAATCTTTATATTCAAAGCACTCTTACAGACCAGTGAACAAATAATTCACCAAAAAAAGAAATACAAATGGATCCCCTTGAACACATGAGATGCTCAAACTCATTCACGATAACAGAAATAAATTTCAAAACAATATCAAGAAACCGTTTTCCATATATCTGATTAGCAAAAGCCGAGAGTTTAACGGTACACTGGTGGGCCGCACAGGAACACTTATGACTCTGCTGGGGCTCCAGGATGGGGTGGGGATGGGGGGGTATGGGGGCGGGGGCGGTGAAATGGTACAAATTCCGGTAGAAAGAGGACTCTTGCTCAGCAATTTCACTTCGAAGAGTTTATCAGATCTAGGTAAAAACTAATGTTTGAGAGGAACTGATCACTAAATAGCGTGTTTGGAATCTACACAGTTATTTGAGCCTTACTTTTTAAATATCTCTGAACAGAGACTTAAGCTTTGTCAGTATTTTCACTTAACTGATATTTATATTTAAAATATGGCATCGTATGTTGCATTACTGCCTTTCGCGGTAGAGTTACAATGAGAAGATGAATTTGTTCATTATTTTTCCTGATGGTAGATGTGAAATGGTGCTTCAAAAAATTGTGTTTATGTATGTCCATGTGTGTGAGTGTATGTGCACTTGGACATAGGTTTTAAGTATAAAGTGGCTCTTTCAAAATAGGCTGCCATCTGAAAATGGGAAATTGGGATCTGAGACCTGCTGGAGTGTAGAAGAACTTGATGGAAGGTTTTTTAAAAGCCCTAGTGAAGTTAATAATGAATTTAAAAAATATATATTCAAAATTCATGTATTAGTTTTGAAAACTTTATTAAAATTAAGAAAACAATTATATGTACTCACATTAAAAATAAACCTAATGTTTGAAAAATTATGTATGGTCACATTTGGAAGATATAAGTTAGATTTCCAGCTGGTACTATGCTCCAGAGTAAAAATCTAGGTGTTTAAAAAGCCAAATTAACAAAACAAGATGAAGTATCAGGCTAAAAATATAGGATAATATATCGATAATCCTGGCATAGGCAGGCTTTTTATGTCTTTAATTTAAAAAAATCTTTATTTTGAAATAATTTAATTTGGAGAGGTTACAAAGAATTCCCAGATTCCCTAAACAGTTGATATTTTAACACATTTGCTTTTTCTCTCTCTTCCTTTCTCTCTTATATATATGTAACATATATAACCATATATTTATTTGTATGCTGTGTCCTTCACAATGTATCTTATTGAGGTAGGCTGGGACCCTTTGCTTGCAGGTAAGCAAGCAACAGAATACAAAGAAACAATAAGGGTCTAAAAGTAACTGCCTATCTGCTCCATTGGGTCCAATCATGAACAAGATAGAAAAAGGCCACAAACCAACTGTCATTTCTGAGGGGCCAGGAGCAAAAGCTGGGTCCCCCACAAGATCTCTGCACACAGCATCACCAAGGCAGTGGACCCACCACCTAAGCACCCTCTCCAGCCCGACCCACTGATCAGCCCCCACTCTCACATCATTTAAGGAACCAGCCCGCCCACCTCAGAGAGCAGGCAAAGGGTACCTGTTACTAATTTTTCTTCTCTAGTGCTGCATGAGTCCCAGTATAGCTTTGTCTGAATTCCTTGTCTGGCTTCTCAACAATTTTTATTGATTCAAGAGCTCAAGGACCCTGGTCAGTAACAATATCAAGAGGAAAGTGATGTCTATTTGTCTCATTACAGATAATGTCAACTTGGATCACTTGCTGAAGGTAGTATCTGCTTGGTTTCCCCACTTTTATTCTTTTGTAATTAATAAGTATTTTGTGAGAGATACTTTGAGACTAATAAATACACTGTTTCTCATAAAACTTCTACATCCTAGTTTTTAAAAAATTATGCAAGTTCAATATTCTTTACATCCTAAATGTATACTAAGGAGAAAAGAGGTCAAATTAGTGATGGCAGGTACATACAATGGAATACTATGCAGGTGAGGAAAAGAATACAAAGTTCTTTAGTACCAAAAGGAAAAGATCTTCAAGAAACAGCAGTGAGGGACTTCCCTGGCAGCCCAGTGGTTGTGACTCCATGCTTCCACTGCAGGGGACACAGGGTTTCATCCTTGGTCCAGCAACTAGAATCCTGCAAGTCACATGGAGTGGCCAAAAAAAGAGAAAGAAACAGCATTAAATTAAAAAGAATTGTGCATCCCTTAAATGCGGGCTGTGGTCGTGATTTCCTAGGATGGAAAGGGAGAGAAAAAGGAACCTGTCTCCCACATGCTCAAGAATTCCAGGGTGGGGGCCGGGGCAGGGCCCCATGGGCCAGGCTGGGTGGTCATCCGAAGTGCTGGCAACCCTGTGCCATCTCCCGAGTTCCTTTGTGATGACCAGGGTCCAAGAGCCCAGTGGCTGGGGAGATGGACAAATGCAGTGAGCAGAACGGAGAGTGAAAGGCCCAGCACTCGGGCACCAACATACATCTTCCAGGGATCCTTTCACTGTAAAGCCCACAGCAAAGCGTCCTTGGAAAAATCACAGATCCGTCAGTAAATCCTGAAGCAAATGTAGTCACCATGTCAGACATCTGAGGCTTTCACGGTGAGAGGACCGCCCCCTGGGCTCAGGGGCCCCTAGACTCCGGCTCAGAGACGGATCCGCCCTTTCTCACTGTGGCTCCTCCCTTTCTCACTGTGGCCCCTCCCCTTCTCTCCGTAGCTCCTCCCCCTATGCTCGGCTCAGGCTGCTCAGTCCTCGGAAACCCAGAGAAGCCTTGATGGCCTCGAGCAGTGTGACGTTAGCCTCACGAGATGAGTAAACAAAGGTGGTTGTTGAGGTATCCACTGCCGGACACACTGTTCAACCACGTCTTAAACCCCACAGACAGGTGAAATGCACACCTGGATGAGTCACAGGACGGTCCTGGAGCCCCAGAAGGTCTTCAGGACCCTACGTCTGTGGGGTCTAGGACCACCCTAGGGAGGGACACTCCCAGCCTCTGCCCTCTGAGGGGAGTGGGGCGGAGTAGAGGTGTGGCTGAGCAGGGCCCCCTCCCTCAGACGGGCTACAGGAGGAGGGTCTCTCTGTGTGGGGGGCGGGGGTGGGATTTCTGTCATGACCACAGTGTCCCTCCAAGCACAGCTGTGACTTTTTCCATCAGAGAGAGAGAGGCCTGGCTCCCACCCACCCCAGAGGAGGACACATCGTGGAGTGGCTTTGGGGCGTGGGCCCCAAAGGGAGTGACCGGTGACAGACGTGACCACGGTCTTGCCCGGGAGAGACCAGGCGACCCGAGTCGTTGCAGGCAGCCTCCTGAAGGACACAGCACCTGCCGAGGGTCCTTTCCTTATACCTCTCAGTGCTCTGAGGTCTCAAGGGGCCTCAACTGGTCAGGGAAGCGGGCCAGAGTCCTGAATGTCTGTGCCGGTGAGGACTGACCACCACCGCCGTGAGCAGTGTCTTTTATTCTGCGACTTCCTCCTTCCTCATTTCATTCTCTTAAGTGATGATAGTGGTGACTTTTGCAGTTGCTTTATTTTTAATTTGGGGGGTGGTGGGGATCGGGCAAGGCTAAGTCAGTTTGATCAGTCCTCAGACTTGGAGGGGAGGACCCTTAACTGGTCCCTGAAATTCAGAGCTAAAGTTCTGGTTTGCTAGATTCTGGTTGAAGCTTGTTCTGCTTAAGGAGCCAGATCTTGTGCAGCTGTGAAACAGAACCAAGTTATAAATCACACAACGTAAGTCTCCAAAAACCACAAACAGGCTATTTCCATGGACGCCCAGGCATCCATCAGAACACACAGCCTCACTTAGAGGGGAACAGGCCCTGGGAAGCTGGCCACCTTGGATGAGGGCAGAGTCCTCCACTCTCTTCACAAACACCCCAAACAGTAAATCTCACTGTGGCGTGAGACAAAGTGGGATAAGCTCCGACCTCCTGTGTGACTATGAACCCTAGCCAGCTGGTGGGGGTGGTTGCCGTTGTGCCCGATCCTGACCTCTGACCCTCACTGCCACCTGCTCTGAGCTCCAGGAGGTGAATTCTCAGTGATTGTCTATGGCAAGGGGTATGGGTAAAGGGGCTGATGGCTGTCAGCTTATCACAGAAACCTCGGGTCAGAGGTGGCGGTGAGCCCAGCTGAACCATGGGGCCCTGAGCTGGCCCAACCTCGCCAAACGCTTCACCATTTTCCCCCAGTTTCTCATCTGTGAAACAGGGACAAGGAGCTGTTTAAAGGAGGAGAGCCCTCCTGGCCGCACCACCCAGGCCTGGCTGCCTCCACAGCTGTGGGGCTGTCGTACTGGACAGCCAGCAGCACCCAGGCTCAGAGCAGGAGCCTAGGAGTGTTTGCACAGGGGCAGATGGACAAGACAACCTAGGGATGAGCCCCAAGATGCTGCCTTGACGGTAAGTTTTGCTCACCGCCCACGAGGGGCTGATCCTCCTACCAAACTCACAGGGAAACAGCTTCTGGCAGGCGCCTGCCCGAGTGGAAGGACAGACCAGACCTGAGCAGCCCACCCGGGGACCCCCACCCTCCCCGCTCAAGCTCCACTGCAGGGATTCCCCCCTCCCCGGGCCGGGTCAGGCTGGGCTCCACCTGCTGTAGGAGCCACGTCTGAGGGCACAGGACTGTCTCTCCTGGCGGCCCGTCCCCACCCCACGCAGATGTTTCCTGCTGATGCTGCACATTTCTGCTTTAATGTGAGGCCTGCCCAGCACTGAGCACGTGGTGGAAATATGCCGACACAGCCATTTATCTCCCTGTGTCGCAATTCACCCTCTCGGGGCAAAGTTCCAGCTGATGCCTCCAGAGGCGCCGAGGCTGAGCTAGAATCTCGGTTCTCCAAGGACCCGGGCAGCCCGGAACCCAGGGTGCGGCAGGAAAAGCGGTTGGGAGTGACGCATTGCGGGCCAGGGGAGCCGTCTGACCACAGCCGCTCAGAGGATGTGAGACATGAGGGCACTGCAATAGCCCTGCGCCTGCAACACGGGGACGAGCACGGCTGGCCCTGCCGGGGGCGCTGCCCCCACGCAGGTGGGAAGCGGCTGAAGGACCCGTCCCAGAGCCCTTCGGCTGCTGCTTCATCCTGAAGACTTAGAAGGTGGCGGCGGTCGCCCCCCCCTGGGTTTTGCCAGAGGTGAGAGCGTGTGGAATGGAACGCAGAGCCAGAGGAGGAAACTGCCACCATGGGGGTGGGGCCCCAGTGGGCAGGTTCCCCTGAGTCTGACCTCGAGGGTGGCATCCGGGTGACACCCTTTTTCCTTGGGCTTCTCAGAATTTAGCTCCACACGCCACCACCAGCCCTGGGCCAGCCCCTATTTGCTCTGCCTTGTTCACCAACTGCACTCCGGTCAGCTGATCCGTACCCTTGGCCTTGATCAAGCCCATAGATGGTGGTACACTGGCCAAGCCTCTGCCAGGGGTTCCACATCCCCCCCACCTGACAGCCGAGGTCTCTCTAGGATCCGACCCCTCCTCTTGGATGGCAGGCTGCTCCTTTTGCAGCTTCGACCTTGGATGTCCAACTCCTTGACTGGACTGCTCTTCACCCCTACCCACCCCTATCTCCAGTCACTTTCTCAGTGAGACCTGCCCCACAACTTAAATCGTAACCCCCCCCACACATACCCTCCCTCCCCCCCACTTATCCACCTCACAAACACGCACAGCAAAGCCAGTCTGTAAGCTCCATGGAGGCATCAATTTTTAATGTTTTTACTCTGAAAAATTTCAAACATAAATGCGAAAGTAGACAAAACAGTATGATGAACCTAACGTCCCATTACTCAGTTTCAGCAATGCTCAACCCTTGGCCTGTCTTATTCCGTCTGTGCCCCGCCTTCGCACATACCACATTTGCCTGTAAATGCTGCCAAACTAGATGCACTTTTAAAGAATTTAACCACACTACCATTATCACCTAAAAATTTAATAGTCTTAAAACCAAATAAACGGCCCATGCCCAGAATTCCCCAGTTGTCTCATTTCATACAGCTGTTGTTTTTAAACATCAGAATCCAGAGTCTAAAAAAGGCAATGTGTTAATATGCCCCAAGCTTTATGAATAACACTCTCCTTCGTTTTAATTTCTTGTTGAAGGAACTGAGTTGCCTACCCCTGTAGAATGTACCACATCCTGGCTCCAGCAGGCTGTGTCCCTAGGTTGCCTGGCTATCCTTCTGTGCCAGTCTTTCCTGCAAGCCCATGATGGACACAGAGATCGACCCACGTCAGGTTTGCTTTTCAGCAAGAGCACATCCTCATTGGGCTTCCCGGCATGTCTCCTGGGGGCTTCCTCAAGGATGTCGCCCTTGCTTGAGGGCCCAGGGCTGTCTAAGGCTGCTTTTACCTTCCCCACCTCCCTGTATCTGTCGGCTGGGTGCTTGTCTAAGAACCTCCTTGTCGACTGTGTGGTTACTGCTCATTCAGGAAAAGCAGGATAAATGCCTGCTGCTTTCTTTTACTTACCCGTTTTTTTTGAGTAACGAGTTGGTTTCCAGCATCTCCCAAAGGTGACCGAGAACTCCTTACTTTTTTTTTCCCCCTCCAAGTTTTCTTTGTTTTCTGGATAGTCAAGGACTCATGCATTGTAATTTATTTATCGTGTTTCAACCCATTTTGGTCACTATACTTCCTGATGCTCTCGTGTCCCACCTGTGGCCACAGGGGGCCCCTTCCCGTCAGCTGTGTGTTGTTGGACCAGAGTCAGGATGGCCCAAGCTCACGTGGGCGCCCAACCCTGGCAGCCCAGGCCCCAAAGAAGGACCAGTGCAAGAGTGGGCTGTGGTCCCGAGGGGGCGAGCACGCATGTGAGAAACTCATTTCCAGACAAAGCCCCGTGCTGCTCCATGAGCTTGTATGGGGCTCCTGCAACGCTCTTTCTTCTGGAGGTAATAATGCTTGCTCTCAGCCCCTCAGTATCTCTCCTCTCCCTTTTCAACCTGCTGTGACGGCCTGTTTTCCTGGTTGTTACAGGCTTTTTGGCTCTGAGGGCTCCACGGCTTCCCAACCTGGATCCTGAGGCCTGCAAGCCACCCTTGACACCTGCCCCAGGTCGCATGCTCCACGCTCTGCGCTTCTGAGCTTCTGAAATGTTTCTAAAAACCAAACAAAACCAGACACTGGCATTGGCACTGCCTTCTTGATGCCATCCTGATGTGTCAGTTCACTCCTGCAGGTGCCAAGGTTTCAGTCTCCCCCTCACCTCCAGATTCCCATCATGCTGTCAGCCTCCAAGTCCTGTCGCAGGGACCCTCCTCCGCAGGTATGTTGGGTGTGCATCTGGGTGGACCCCTCGCCTCCTGTCTGGGCCCCCTCCTCCTCCATCAACTCCTCCACCGTGTTTTCCTGGTTTGGGAATAGCCTTGGTCACCATCACCACCACCACTCAATCCAAGCCATGCTCTTCACTCCATCAGTCCTCAGACCTCTGGACCCCCAGCCCCACCTCCATCCCCTCTTCTCAAATAAAGCAAAAACAATTTGCATCTCCTTCCAGCACCACCTTTGACAGAAGGACACACTGCTGTCCACAAGCAGTTTTCCCCATTTCATTTGTGGGAAGGACGTACCCATTCAGAAAGCAGACCTTTCTGCCTCCTCTCTTAAATCCAAAATAATCTAAGAAAAGAGCTGGGCTCTACGGTATAGTTTCCTAGCACACTTATCGTTTTAGTTAAGCAAAATGCTCCAACACACATGCATGCTCCCTTACCTGCTGGCTGGTGAGAAAAGCCCAAAGCTGTCCTTTGTGCAGAAGCAGGCTCTCCGCTCCCCCAAAGTGAGGCTGTGTCAGGTGAGGCTCATTCAGTATAGACACGGGCCCCGTTCGGCACTCAGCTGAGATCATTTACCTGCGGACACGAGCACTACTCAGGTGAGGCTGTTCACCTGCAGCGCGGGGTCCCCCCCGCCCCCGGCACTTGGCATGGTTTTCATGACACTTAGGTCCCACCTTCCTGTTTGCAGCTGCCCATCTACCTGGATTCCTACTCTGCATGTTCCTCTTCCCCTTCTCCTTTCCCTTGACATCTGCCTCTCCTTTTTTGTCAAACAGCTTCATTGAGAGAGAGCTCACACATCATACAGCCCACCGTCTGAAGTGTACAATTCAGTGGTCTTTAGCCCATTCACATGGTTGTGTGACCAGCACCTAATCTCAGCACATTTTCATCACACACCAGAGACCCCACACCAGCAATGGTCACTCCCAGTCTCCCTGCCCCCAGCCACTGGCAAACACTCAGCTATTTCTTTCAGTGGATTTGCCTTTTCTGGATATTTCACATAAATGAATTGGCTTTTTTTCACTGAGCATCATGTTGTCAGGGGTCATGCATGTTGCAGTCTGGTTGGCAATTCATTCCTTTTGCGTGGCTGGATAACTGTCCACCATGTGGACAGACCATGTTTTGTTTACCTTTTTGTCCACTGATGGACATTTGGATTGTGTTATTATTCCTAATGGCTTCCCAGATAGCACCGTGGTAAAGAATCTATCTGCCAGTGTAGGAGATGCAGGTTCTATCCCTGGTTTGGGAAGATCCCCTGAAGGAGGGCATGGCAACCCACTCCAGTGTTCTTGTCTGGAGAATCCCATGGACAGAGGAGCCTGGCGGGCTACAGTCCATAGTGTTGCAAAGAGTCGAATGTGACTGATGCGATTTAGCACACACACATACATTACTCCTGATAACACTTTGGGATTAGTATGAATAATGTCGTGAACAAGGTTTTGTGTGGATGTAGGTTTTCATTTCTTACAGGCTTACCCCTAGGAGTGGAATTGTTGGTCCCATGATCACTCCATCTAACACTTTGAAGAGTTGCCAGACTGTCTCCCACGGCCGTGACCAGGGCTCCCGTTTCCCCGGCTCCTCCCTCACCAGCATTTGTTGTCCTCTGTCTTTGTAGCCAGCGGGCTGGTGAGGACCTGCGTCCACTCCACTCTGCCCTCAGCGACTCCCTCTGCACTACCCAGCTGTGCTTGGCCTCCCGAGCCCAGGTCTCCACCTCGGGGAGGCAGGAGCCTCCTTGCCTCTCCGCCTCCCCACTGACCTGCCCCTCTGCTTCCACTGGGGCCTCAGGATGCTCCTCTCTGCTGCCTGTCCTGTGACCCCTCCCCCACACAGCAAACTTTTCCACATTTCTTTGTTAAAATAATTAAGTATGAATATTAAGAACGTGTTTTTACGCCAAGTGCACTGTAATAACAGTTGATCGGGGGAAGGCTCAGCGCTCCTCTGAATCCCAAGCTTCACAAACCTGGTCTCCCAGCACCGCTGGGGACTGAGGACAGGCCTGGGAAGGATCACCCTGGCTCCAGAACATTCTCCCCGTCCTGCTCCTGCTGTCCCGATGGCTTCTCCTGCTCTTTCCTGTTTCTTCATCTTGATGTTCCTCGTACCTCCCACACCTCCCCATTTCTAACAGGACAAAACCCAAACCTGTTTGCCAGCTGTTGCTACAGGGCTTCATGATGGCTCAGGGATAAAGAACCTGCCTGCCAATGCAGGTGACACCGAAGACATGGGCTTGATCCCTGGGTCAGGAAAATCCCTTGCAGGAGGAAAAGACAACCCACTCCATTATTCTTGCCTGGGAAATCCCATGAACAGAGGAGCCTGGCGGGCTACAGTCCAAAGGATCGAAAAGAGTCGGACACGACTGAACGACTAAGCATACATGCTGCAGAACAAGAATTAGTGACTTAAAACACTAAGAAGCACTTACTAGCCTCATAGAGTCTATGGATCAGGAATTTGGAAGCCACAAAGCTGTGTTGCTTTGTGGTCTCAGCCCGTCTCACCTGAAGGCTTGACTGGGGCTGGTTGTTCCCCTGCCAGGGTGGCCCTTTGCATGGCTGGGGGCTGTTACTGGTTGTTGGTGGAGGCCCATTCCCCCAGGACAAGTCTCAGGCTTCTAGAACGTCCTCTGACCCTGGCAGCTGGCTTCCCCCAGAGTGTATGTTCCTTGGGAGAATGGCCCTTCCTCTGGCCAAGCCCCAGAGAGCACACAGCATCCCATCCTCCACCTTCTGCTGACGTATCAGACCACGAAGTCCAGCTCACACTCAAGGGTGAGGGATTGG